CACTTATCATTCAGATCAATATTGGTCTGAATATTCTTGAGACTAACTGAAATGAAAAGAACTGTTGTGTAACCATCCATAATTCCAGCCTGTAGACCTGGGCTGTATTTCTATGCCCTGCCTGGCACTGATCCCACCTCCTGCCCCCTCTCCCTCACCACCAGTCAGTCTTCGTCCTAATGAACAGAGAGGGCAACCCTGAATGGGGAGTGGAGGGAAGAGATGTCATGAGATGGCAACGTGTACCCTGAAGTGAGGATGAAGGCTACGTGAATGTTGTAGGCTGACAGCCGGGCATGGTGGCCCCGTTGCCATGGCGATGGAGGCATGTTGACGCAAAGTGTCTGCACAGCTCCTAGGATTTTTAACAGCAGCTGGGCAGAGCCTCGGCGTCCCTGAATTGTTGCCCCCCTGAGTCACTCCTTGGCCCCAGCTGTCCTGATCTCTGTTGACAAATGGTTGTCCTTCACAGTCAAACTACTAACAGTACTCTAATTAATGAATGTGCTAATTATTCTTGCCTACTCCCAGCACATTTGTCTAACTAACCTGTCACACACAGATCAGCGCAGCATATGCATAATTACGGAGGGCGCTGGGAGCAGGGTATGGGCGGGAGAGGGGATGGGCGGGAGAGGGGTGGGCTGTCGCTGTGGGATATTTCTTGTAAAATTACCTTTGCTAATGGTCAGATGTCGTGGGGATATGTTATTTCCCGTGAAGTGCATATGTCTTCCCTTCTTTTCCTTCTAAAAATCTCTCTTCAGGGCTGAGGGGCCAGTGCTCAGTGCTTTAGCCTGTGAGGGGATTGCCAGGCATAAATGCAGAAGGACCAGGGAGCCCCAGGTTCTGAAGATGACTCCAGCAGCACCACGTAGGGTGATTAAAACCCCAGACTTTAAAGCCAGACCTGCCTGGGCTTGAACCCTTGTTCTGCTCCTTGCTATGTGGGTCTTTGCCTTGACCATATTTTTTATTTTTTATTTTTTTAAAGACAGGATCTCCTTCTGTTGCCCAGGCTGGAGTGCAGTGTTGAGATCACAGTTCCCTGAAGCCTCCATTTCCACAGCCTCAAGCGATCCTCTTGCCTAAGCCCCGAGTAGCTGGGACTACAGGTCTGCCACCACGTCCAGCTAATTTATTTTTTCTAGAGACGGGGGTCTTGCTATGTTGCCCAGTCTGGTCTCCAACTCCTGGACTCAAGCCATCCTCTAGCCTCGGCCTTCCAAAGTGCTGGGACTACAGGCGTGAGTCACCGTGCCAGGCCCTTGACCACATTTTTAACCCCTTTGAACCTCAGTTTCACTTTCTGGGCAATGGGAGGGGGTAATTTGTCCCTCAGAGGGTTGCACGGAGGAGCAAACGTGAGGCTCTGGGTACAATGTCCAGCACAGACTAGGTCCCCACGACACAGCTGCTCAGCGCCTCCAAATTCTGGGCTGCTCTGGGCTGCGGCCAGGCGGTCTTGTGCGGGAATCCGGGCAGGCAGGGCAGGCTGCGCTCCCTTCCCTGGCTCTCCCGGCGCCCCTCGTCTTTTTGTTCTGTCTCAGCAGCTCTCTATTGAGATGAATGGCATTTCCAGAGCTTCACCTCTGATAAGTGCTCCTCTGCAGCCGCAGCCAGAATCTTAATGTGTGCTCTGTCATTTAATGGCCGTCTCGGCTATTAACACGCTCTTCCCGAGTGGGTGAAGTGGACTCCCTCCATCCCCGGGCCTCTGCACGTGCTCCGCGCGCCGGCTGCGGCTGCGGGTGACTCCAAGGAGCTCAGAGCAGGGGCGCCCAGCACCTCTCCAGGCGCCTTTGGACCTTCTAAAGCGCGAATAGTTGGACTTTTCTCCCATGTGTGGGGCCCCAGAAGGTATGGGTCCCTGCGTTCCACGGAGCCTGGAAGGTTTCCAGTGGTGGTGGGGGCTGACCATGTTGGTCCCCGTAGGTGCTGTTTTCGTGTGCCGGCAGATTGGGATGAGTTTTAAGGACAGAAGTGTGTAGGATTGAGAAACTTCTTTAAAAACTGGAAATTTTAATCTGAGGATTATAAGTATTGGACCGTCAAGTGCAACAGTAAATACACCTCTCATTCCCTCCTCCCAGTTTTTCTTTGCAGGGTTAGTCCCCCTCTGCCATATAATAATTGTGAGAACCAGGGTCTCCGTTCTCCTGCCATCTGGTTGACCTCTCCAAGAATGGACACCCCGGCAACCTGGGCCAATGAGGCTGTCCTAAGAGATTAGATGAGAGAAGTCAGTCTTTGACAGGTGATGAAAGCTGTAAAATGTAGAACTCCAGAGATGGTGAAGATCTCTCCAGGAAACAGGCCTCCACAGAGAATACGTTTGACATGCTAAGAGAAGCTGAGAGAGAGAGGAGAGACTGGAAGAAAGAGACAGAGGTAGAAGAAGGGGAAGAGAGAGAGAGAAAGGGACAGAAGAGAGAGTAAAAAGAGGGGAAGGGCAGGAGAGAGAGAATCCCATTTAAGAGTGCTACATTTAAGAGAGAGAGAGAAAGCTCTCTAGCTCCAAGGCCTAACCACGTCTCTACTCTTTTCAACTTCGGTTGTCAGATTTTTAGACTCTTTGAGTGAATAAATTCTCCTTTTTGCCTAAACTAGTTTGAGCTAAGTTTCTAATGCTTGCAACTGGAATACTTTATAAAAGAAATGGCCTTCACTTCTGATGCATTGTCACTAGGATGTGGTAAATGTTAGAAGGACTAACTCTATGGGGTTCAAACTCCTTGGCTACCAAAACCCAAACATCCCCTGAAACTTACCAAACTGCAGGTATGAACTGGATCTCACTAAGGTGAATATACAAATCTTGCAAGTGCTAAGCCCTAACCAATCTTGTAATAACTCTGTGGTAGTTAATTTTATGTCAAATTGATTGAGCTAAAAAATGCCTAGATAGCTGGTAAAATGTTTTTTCCGGGTGTGTTGGTGAGGGTGTTTCTGAAAGAGATCAGCGCTGGAATCAGTGGACTGGGTAAAGAATTCCCACCCTCACCAACGTGGTGGGTGTCATCAATCCACTGAGGGCCTGAATAGAACAAAAAGTGGGCAGAAGGGCAAATTCCCTCTTCTTCTTGAGCTGGGCCATCCATCTTCTCCTGCCCTTGGACACTGGAACCCCTGGTTCTCCAGCTTTTGGATTCAGACTGGGTCTTGCACCATTGACCTCCTTGATGATTAGGCCTTTGAATGCAGACTCATCTTCACCAGCAGCTATTCCGAGTCTCCTGCTTGCCGATGGCAAACCATGAAACTTCATGGTCGCCATGAGCATGTGAACCAATTTCTATTATAAATCATATATATATATAAAAATGACTAAACAATGTTTGAAAGGCAGAGGAGGGTGGATCACCAAGTGGGTCGGCTCTGCCCAATCACAGAAAATCAGGTTCTCCAAGTATAGAGAGAGTGTAGAGCCCAACCCAGTCACGGGTGCATGTGGAACTGTACCTCATTGTCTCCATATATATATATATATATATATATATATATATATATATATATCCATATATAAATCTCCATATATAAAAATCTATATATATACACATATGGAGATATGTGTGTGTGTATGTGTATATGGAGGTTTATTCATTTATTGGTTCGGTTTCTCCGGAGAGCCTTGGCTAATATAATGTCTACACTCTACAAAGTGCCCTAGGTACTCAGGGAGTACCCAAGTGTGTCATGACCAGCCCGACTGCCCTGGCTGCTGGCTTCCCCGCATGCAACTCTGCACACTGCCTGCACCAGCCTTTCTCTCTCAGCTGAACCAAGGGCACTCAAGCTGGCCTCTGGCACTGTATGTCTGAGGGAGCAATATCTTCCCCTACACTGACCTCTTCCAAGCCGAGATGCAGCCCTTCCTGCTGCCACCAGTTACGGTGGTCCATGTTCCCTTTCAAAGTGAAGTTTTGATAAAAGCACCTCTTAACCAATGCCAAATAGCTGAGTCTGGTACAAAGATTGCAGATGTTTTGCATTTGCCATGTAACCTCGGAGGGATTGCCATTCACACTGAGCTGAGCTGCAGAATACCAGACGGCCACCTCACCCACCCGGCAGGTCCACTCTCACACCTTCTCAGAAAGCACAGCCACTCCACTCTTACTAAGTTGAAAAGAATTTCCAGGAAGGTGTTTCTGCAATTGCCTCAGAAAAGCCAGTTGCAGTGTTTAACAATCTTTTGGAAACTTCCCTTAGGGATCATCTGTAACTCTATTTTGCCTTTTGCCAATTATTTGGTTTGGTTTTAATTCTTTGGTTTAATTCATTAATTCCTTTTATTACTTTTCTCTGAATAAATGGAGATATCAGCTGTCCCTCCCCACTGCCATTGATTCCTTCCTTCATTCAGACCTTATGGGGCTGCTACTGAGGGCCCTACTGTGTGTTAAGTGTTCACTTTTTTTCTTGGAATTCAAAAAAAGAAGGACAGTACTTGGGGCACAGATCTTTTGGTGTTCTATAAATGGTTTTAAAGTTTCATTTTACGTGTGTGTGTGTATGTGAGACAGAATCTTTCTCTGTTGCCCAGGCTGGAGTGCAGTGGCATAGTCATTGGCTGACAGAAGCCTCAAAGTCCTGGGCTCAAGCGATCTTCCCAGCTCAGCCACCCAAAGTGCTGGGGTTACAGGCTTTTACCACTCTGTCTGACCTGAAAGTTTTGGGTTTTCTTTCCCTTCTTTCTCTTTGCTGAAGTCAGAGATGATGGCAGCTTCCAGATTCTCTGGTGCCTGTGCTGGGCTCATGCTGGTCATAGTCTTGGATCCAGGATTCGTTCTGGAGACTCCCAGGGAAGTTTCCCATGACAAGGAAGTGTAGGAGAGTGTGCTGGCTTTGTCTGCTCCTCTGCCAAGCCCTGCTTCTCCTGGTAGGTCACACTGAACCACAGCCAGGGCATTTTGGTGGCTAGTTTAAAAAAAAAAAAAAAAAAAAGGAAGAAGGAGACACTGTGTCATTGTGCTGGGGATCTTCAGAAATTCTAATGATGAAAGAGTGCAAGCTCTCACTTCCCCTTCCTGTACAGGGCAGGTTGTGCGGCCGGAGCCAGAGCAGTCCTCTCTGGAGAGCCTGAAGCAAACATGGATCAAGAAACTGTAGGCAATGTTGTCCTGCTGGCCATTGTCACCCTCATCAGCGTGATCCAGAACGGTAAGGAAAACATTTTACTCAGGGAAGGACAGAAGGGGAGATTTTTTCTTTGATGGGTGTTTGGAAGTCAGGCTTAAACTATTGTGTCTGTGTGTGTGCACGCACACACACTTTTACCTTATCTTTATTTGCTTTTTTTTATTTGAATGTATAGGGTTGTGTGTATTTCTGTGTAAATTTGGCGTTTTCCTCCTCTTAGTCTTTCACTTTCATGGTGATGACTGGTCCCATTTTTAGAGCCAGGGCTGCAACTTGAAGGCTTTTGCTAAAACCCTCACTGAAGTGTCTATGATCAGCATTTTAGCTATTGATTAATGTAGCCAGGCAAAGGTGGAAGGTAAGAAGACTAGAAAGGGAACATGATATACACATTTACGCGGACACGGGGCTTTTCTAACTTCTGCAGTGCAATTGAAGTTCCCAGTCATCTGCAGTCTAAAAAGAGTGATTTTGGTAGGTGTGTAGGAAAAATCATCTTATTATTTTTCCTCTATATTACTTTTTTATTTTGTTCTTCTGAAGAAACATGGTTTTTTTTTTGGTGACACCTTTTTTTTCTCTAGCATGTATAATTTTAGAAGCATTTTTCATATGCATTGTATACTTTGGAAAGAGAGAGAGAGAGAGAGAGGAAAATTGTCCTGCTCGGTATTTGCATTTCCATTATGCTGCTATTAGTTAAAAAAAACAAAAACAAAACAAACAAACAAAAAAAAACAAGCAGGATACCTAGATCTGGAAAAGGAATGGCTGTGTAGAGCTGTCTCCCTAAAGTTCTGAGTTAGGACTGCCTCAGACCACTTTCGTAAGTATCTCCAGTGCCTTTGTGTTTTATATTTATTAAGATAGAGAAAAAAAGAGTAATTACTAAGGGCAGCTGCTGTAGCTTCGTGGTGATTACTGAACATTGACACGCTGTCACGTTTTGGAACTTTGAGTATTGAATCACTTTGGGATATTCTATTTTCCCCCATCTTGAGTGTGGACAGATGATGGTGATGTAGCCTCCTGGGCACAGAGCAAGCCTCCCCCTCAGCCTCCAGGGCAGAAAGGCCCAGCTTCGTACACTCCAAGTATGTTTTCTATAAGAACTATACTCTGTGGTTCTCTGACCCAAACATTTTTATACTAAATTACATACAACGAAGTTGTGGCTCAGAGAGGGAACAAATGGCTTATTTAGGCCACCATTTCCTTGGCCATTACGGTTTCACACGGGGCTCCCTTGGCCCTGTAAATTGGCAAGGATTCCTTTATTCAACCTGCATACATGTACAGAGATCCTGCTCTGGGCCAGATAGTATTCTGGGTATGGGGGAATAGAGCAGGGAACAAAACAGCTCCAGTGATAGACAGGTCAGCCTGAGGCCACGCCTGCAGTCTCTGCGAAGGTAGCTGTACGGGTGGGCAGGTGGCCAGCACTTATTCAGCTCTAGTATTCACTTATTCACCTCTTCCCTGACACCCATCAATAAAACTGAGGGGCATCGGTGGACAGCAGACCTTGTGCCCCCTGTCTGTGCAGTTAGGGCTGAACTCTGCTACGAAGTTTGAGTTCACCCTGTCCGGCTCCCTCTCGATTCAGAGCTGAGCTGGGGGAAGCTTCAGCGCTCTCCATTTCAAGGACAGGTTCTCCTCACCTCTCCTAATGGAGGTGCACTAGGGAAGTGGCCCTGCTCTGCCCAGGGCTTTATCCTGGGCTTTGCCATCATGGTTTAGCAAATCCTGTTCAGATTGAGGTGGGTGTGAGATTTCGAATTCTTTTTGACAGATAGGATTAGGTCTTCTTCTGTGGGACAAGTGGGAGGTGGAGGTAAGATTAAAGATGGCCAAATGTCTGAGTCCTGACAGCCACAGTCTGGAGATCTAGACTTTTTAGAGACCACAGGCCACAGTGGCCTCACTAACAGAGTTCCTGGAAGTGATGAGTGTGCTGGGGGCTTCCTGGTTGAGGAGATACCAGCACGGACCAGCAGGGAGCTAATTTTTTGCGCTGGAGCGTGATGGCCTGCACGTCACTGCCTCTGTCCCTCCATTGTCACAGCTACCCCTTGGGAGCCAGCTGAGGCAATGTGTGGTCAGAGTGACTTTGCACAGTTCTCCTGCCTGTGCTCAGTAAGGGAATTTCTGTGGTCCCGATGAAACCACAGAAGAGCCCCTCACATACCTCTCAATGAGGGTGGCAAAACATTCAATAACTTGGGAGGTAACACGACTATTTGTTTTTAACCGTGAGTTTTTAGGTAATCCCAAAGATCCAGATGTATGTCCAAGCCTCTTTTTGCAATTCTAATTCACCTCAATGTTGCAACCATAGACCTACCTTACAGAATTCAAAAAAAAATATGCAAAAACCCTGCCTTTCTTCTTCCTCATACCCTAAAATGCCATTGTGAACACTTCCTGTTAGTTAAAGAAAGATTTCCATGGTGTTACCAGGCACTGCACCCAGTCTGTGTCCTAAGACGGTGAGGCACAGTTCCACATGCACCCCTGACTGCACTGGGCTCTGCACTGTCTCTGTACTTTGAGAGCCTGATTTTCTGTGATTGGGCAGAGCCGGCCCACCTGGTGCAATGTCCCCCTCTGCCTTTCAAACATTGTTTAGTCATCAAGATCTTCAAACTTGTAACCCTTTCCAGCTTGATCCAGCACAATGCAGATTTGGAAAAACAGAACGAGTTTCAAATACATTGTTCTAAGAAACCTGGACCAGAAGTATCAAAACTTGGTTTCCCAGAGAATGCAGCAAATGGGCTCATTGGCCAGTACTATGGCACTGGCTTTTGAGAGAAGAAAGGCTTCATTGCATGGCTGGCCAGCAAGGAGACAGGAGTTGGGCTAAAATCTGTCTCCCCAATTTGGGGCTTAGGGCAAGTTTTAATTACATAGATGCATTTCTTATGAGTAGCAGGCAGAGAGCCTCCAGCTTCTCCAGCCAAGGTACCAGCAGCTTGGACGTGATGCAAACCTGGGAAGCACATACTGTATTTGGAGAAAGTGATTGGGAAGAAATGTGAGCTGAGGGGAGGGGCTCAGTGCCCCTGAGCGACACGTAGTGATGGCAGAGGAAGGATGTCCTCCTGCAGGAGGCTGTTCCGCATCTGCTCTGGTTGTAGGGGGAGCTGGCAGGCATTAGCAGTGTCCTCTTTCCCCCAAGAGAGGCAGCCTCCTCCAAGTGTTGGCGACATTATGGCCCTGCAGTCATAAGGATTTGTGAGCATAGTGCTAAGGAGGGAAATGGAGCTGCTGTTACTATTTCTACCCCAACACATACACACACTCACAAGAAACCTCACAAGCACCATATTGGAAGACTTTGCCATCCAACCTGGGGTTTGATAGGCTCTAGAAACTGAATCATAGACTCATGAAGTTCCCCCAAAGCAGGAATCTTCCTTATAGTAACCCCCACAGCTGCTTCTTCCTGAACACTGCAGTGTTCAGAAAACTCACCACCTTCCAAGCTTGCCTTTCCAATTGTTCCATGGATTGAAAGCTTGCGTTGTGTGAAGAATGGTGCTTCCTGCGGTGCTTAGTATTATCTCATGTAATCTTTGCACCATTTAATCCTCGCACTCACCCACTCACGCAACTGCCTTTGCAGAGACTGGAGGGGTCACTGTAGGCTGACCTTTCCTTCACTGTACCTGCTTTGTTCCCTGCTTTAGTCCCCTGCACCCAGGACACTGCCTGGCACAAAGACAGGTCTTTATAAGTGTATGCAAGTGAATAAAGAAATATATATTATTATTATTATTGAGTTTCACTCTGTCGCCCAGGCTGGAGTGCAGTAGTGCAATCTCAGCTGACTGCAACCTCCGCCTCCCAGGTTCAAGTGATTCTTATGTCTCAGCCTCCTGAGTAGCTGGGACTACAGGCATGTGCCACCACGTCCGGCTAATTTTTGTATTTTTAGTAGAGACAGGGTTTCACCATGTTGGCCTGGTTGGCCTCGAACTCCTGACCTCAAGTGATCCTCCTGCCTCGGCCTCCCAAAGTGCTAGGATTACAGGCATGAGCCCAGCCTAAAAATACATACTACATGATTTATTCCTGTTTTACAGATAAGCAAAGTGAATCATGGAGAATTTGGACCATTGGTTGAATGTCCCAAGGTCAGGAGTCGTGAAGCTGGGATTAAAACCTAATCATCTGACTTTAGAGAGTAGACACTTGCTCCATGCATATTGCCTCCAATTCATTCATTCAAGCACTCACTGTTCAAGAAGTTCTTTCTTATGTTGAGCTGAAATCTGCAGCCCTGTGCCTTTTATCCAGCAGTCCTGGTGCTGTTCCCTAAAATCACTTAGACTGTGCCTGCTCTTTCTGTGTTTACAGTGTCAGCTGTCACATCCCCCTCTTCAGTCTATCGTTTCTGGAGTCCCTTGCCATTGGGTCACCTCTCCTCTTCCTGTGTTCTAAGAACACCTATGCAGATAGGTGTCTTCTGTACAGGGAAGCTGTTCCTGAGATATGGGCTCCAACTCTGTTAGAATAATCTACGTATGAGTTACTTTTTCGAGAACTATGTGTCACTGCTGAGTCATATGAACTCTGTGGTTAACTAAAATCTCAAGATCTCTTTATGTTTGTTGAGAAACTTATTTAACTTCTCTGGCCCTCAGTTTCCTTCACTGAGCAGTGGAGTGATTGATAACCTCCACATGTGGTTGCTAAAGGTCTTGCACAAGATGATATAAAGTAGCCAGCCGTGCCCACGTACAGCAGATGCCTCACAAGGGTTTGCAGCTATCTCTCTATCTGTGTCTTTGTCTCTCTCACACTGGTTCTGGCTTACTGCGAGAGAGAGTGTGTTTCTGGTCTTTGCATGCATTGTTTCTGTAGCATGCTGCAGGATTACAAGAGGTTGGGGAGTGAGGGGGCGGTGAGGAGTAGACAAAGGCAGCCAACTTTTCCAAGTTTAGCTTAGAAGGAAGGAGAGGTAAACCCTAGTGGAATGTTGGACCGAGGCAGGTTTGTTTTTGTTTTGTTTAAAGGGTAGGGAAGATCTGTGGGTGTTTCCAGGATAAAGAAAAGGAGAGAAGATGATATTAAAGATTCTGGAAGTGGGAGAAGGAGCAATGAAATACAGACTTGAAGTCAGTGGTATGGACAGGGTCAAGATCGCAGGTAGAGGTCACAGCCTTAGAGAAAAGGAAGGGGCTCGGTTCTCTGAGCAAGGAGGGAAAGAAAAGAGGCAGATGCAGAGAACTACAGCGTGTCGTGCTGCTGGTTGCAGAAATAACCTCTGACTTTTAATACAGTCATCCCTCCGTATCCCTGGAGGATTGGTTTCAGGACCGCCCTTGGATGCCAAAATTCATAGATGCTCAAGTCCCTGATATAAAATGGCATAGTATTTGCATTTAACCTACACACATCCTCCATATACTTTAAGTAATCTCTAGATAATCTCTAGATTACTTGTTTTGTCTTTTTTTTTTTTTTTTTTTTTTTTTTGAGATGGAGTTTCACTCTTGTTGCCCAGGCTGGAGTGCAATGGTACAATCTCAGTTCACTGCAACCTCCACCTCCTGGGTTCAAGCGATTCTCCTGCCTCAGCGTCCCAAGTAGCTGGGATTACAGCTCCCCCCTCCCCAACTCCCCCAACAACTGGCTAAGTTTTTTATTTTTAGTAGAGACGGGGTGTCACCATGTTGGCCTGGCTGGTCTCGAACTGCTGACCTCAGGTGATCTACCTGCCTCGGCCTCCCAAAGTGCTGGGAATACAGGTATGAGCCACTGTGTGTGGCCTGGATTACTTATAATACCTGATAGAATGTAAATTTTATGTAAACCGTTGTTATACTGTATTGTTAAAAAGTAGTAACAAGAAAAAAATCTATACATTTTCAGTACAGACAAAATGTTTTTGTTTTGTTTTGTTTGGTTTGGTTTAATATTTTTGGTCAGTGGTTGGTTGACTCCAGGAATGCAGAACCTGCAGATACAGAAGGCTGATTATACTAGCCCTGTTTATGTGTTCAGAGGCAGGGAACACCATCTTGGGTTCTGGAAAGAAAACAATTAGGATCTTCTGTCATACTCTGGCAAAAACAGATCTTTGGAATGGACAGGTGTATTAAACCCTGTGGAACTGGCTGGGCCCGGTGGCTCACGCCTGTAATCCCAGCACTTTGGGAGGCCAAGGCGGGTGGATCACAAGGTCAGGAGATCGAGACCAGCCTGGCCAATACGGTGAAACCCCGTCTCTACTAAAAATACAAAAATTAGCTGGGTGTGAATGACGCATGCCTGCAGTCCTAGCTACTGGGGAGGCTGAGGCAGAAGAATCTCTTGAACCCTGGAGGCGGAGGTTGCAGTGAGCCGAGATCACGCCACTGCACTCCAGCCTGGTCAAGAGAGTGAGATTCTGTCTCTTTAAAAAAAAACCCTGTGGAACTGACGAAATCCTGCGGGGAGCTTCACGGTGACAGCAAGAGGAGAAACACATCCCCATGTGACCCGCAGAGTTTGAAGTCCCGGCTGCACTGCTCCCCGGCGGCGGGGTGACTCTGGAAGGTCGCAGGGTTCTTACCTACAGAGTGGGAACAGTACTACCCACTGCAAAGAGTGGGTGCAAAACTCAGGGACAGAATACACGGCAAGTGCCCATCACATTGCCTGCGATGAGGTGGGCCCTTCCTTTATGCAAGAGACCCTACAGATACACTTAAAGTGGGCACATTCCTACAGAAGGAGTGTTATTTGTATCAAAAAGAACAACATGAAAGGCTTTTATTCCTATACATAATAAAGCACCCTTTTAATGTCTTTTTGAGGAGGATAATATGAAATTGATGAAAAGGAACCCTGTGGTCGGATCCCTGACAATCACATATATCCCCCTTTTCACTCTTGAAAAAGGAGTAAAGGAATAAAATAGAAAAGGAGAGAGGGGAGAGAGACCTTCACCCCTCCATCATCCAATCTATAGTCAAACCCTCCAGACTGTGTCTCCTTGGCGTCTCTGACACCCCCACCGCCACCACCCCAGTCGACTCTCATCTTATCCCCCATTCCTGGATCTGATTCTGCTAAGTGCCGGCCACACTAAACGCAGGGTGGCTTTCTGATGACTACATTCCTCTGCTTAAACCTGTCAGTAATTCCTTGTTGTTCTTAGACAGAACTAAGTTCTGAATTTCTTCACACGGCTCTCAGCAAGGTCACAGTCACCCTGCTAGGCCCAGGTGCAAATCTCAATGGTCATCTTCTTGAAGCCCTGGCTCAGTTATTACTTTGTCATTGGGGCTCACGCCCCCACCCTCTTGCATGCATCAAACGGCCCCTTACCACGCTCTTCTTTCGCCCATAGCTCAGCACAACGTATCATTTCAATTTATGTATTTTGCTTACTATGGATGATCTGTTTCCTCCTCTGCTGCCCTCACCAGAGCATCAGTTTCTCAAACCAAGGCTCTTTGTTTTGCTCTTGGATGCAAGCTAAATGTCTGGCACATGGCAAGTGGTCATAGACACATGTCATTGAAAGAACAATTCATCACCTCCCTGTTTGGCCTTGTCTGTGGTTCTACCAAATCCCACTTTCTCCCCAGCGCCCTCCATTCCCCCTCCTTGGCTGGACATTCTGAACCAAAACAGTTCTTTCCCCCCATACCTTCGCATATTCCGTTCTCCTAACGTAGAGTGGCCCCTCTCCCTCCCTCTGCTTGGCTAATTTCTACTTGTTCTTCACATTTTATCTTAGGTGTCATTCCCTCCAGGAATCCTTCTGTGACCCAACATGGAATTAAGTTGCCTCCTTTGACCCTGAAAGCACCGTGTACTCAATCTTATCTTGGCATGACTCGCTCTGCTGTGTGGAACACCTGCTTTCCTTGTTTGTCTATTCCTTTAGGCTGTAAGATCCTGGAAAGTGGGGGCCGTGCCTTGCTCACCACTGCGTTTCCAACACCAAACACAGCGTTCAGTAGAGAGCAGCTGCTGAGTACATTTCTGCTAAATGACAGTTGATGGAGGACATTTAGGGCTGTTTGGAGGTCAAGTCAAGGAGGCATTTAACATTCTAGTAAAACAAGGAAGTAACAGGCTGCAGAACATGCCCACAATGAACCAAGTGCAAACCGTTTTTGTTGGCAGGATTCTTTGCCCATAAGGTGGAGCACGAAAGCAGGACCCAGAATGGGAGGAGCTTCCAGAGGACGGGAACACTTGCCTTTGAGCGAGTCTACACTGCCAAGTGAGTTTAAACCCTGATGTTGCTAATAGGTGGGGGCAAGCGCAGGGGGGCCTCCTTCTAGGAATGATGACACCTTTAATACCACAGGTCTGTCTGAGCCAACTTTCTGAGCGCCAGGGAGCTAAGGAAGGTTGGATTTCACCAGAGAGGCTTTGTGGACACCCTTCATCATCTTAGTGAGTGCTAGTGTCAAAAGAAAGGGAGTGGGGATATGGGGCGCGTTGGCGGAGTGAGGTGTGATCTCTGCAGCTTCAGAAAGATCAGAGAGAGTCATTTGATTAGGGAAGTTGACCTATTTCCTGTGGGGTTAGACCAGGGGTGTTACTGTGAACACCAGCCATGACTCACCAGTCGCCTTCAGAAGCCACAGGCAGGACACGCTGGTGACAGCCTTCAACTCACCTGCCCCTCGCTCTCCTGCAGGTGGAAGTCTGGAGGTGACACCAGTGCATTTTCTAACACCGGGGCTCCTTGAGCAACTAGAATAAGAACAAAAAGAATGGGGACGTTACGCAGGTGCTTTCCCCCTCTCTCATTCTTTTCTTTGAATAAAAAGGCTGTTTGAAAACACCCGAGCAGCTCCTAAAGATGGGTGGAATCTATTCAGGATGCAAATCCAAATGAATGTTATTCAAATCCTCCTCTCTCCTTTATGTAGAGTGTATTTCAAGGCTCAGCCAGCGGTAGGTGTGTTGGGGACTATGGACTACGGACTACGGACTAGGGGCCTGTCACGGAGGAAGGCCTCATGCTAGGGAGCTAAGGGAGGAGCGGGCCTTCAGTTCCAGCCCACGAGCAACTTTGATGTCCCCAGAGATCCTTCCAAAGGGGGAGTCATGGTCACCCAAGAAAAATGCATTCAGAATGCTAAGAATGGTGCAAACGCAGTATAAAGATTCTCACCACAGGGCTGGAGTCCCTGGGCTCACTGCTGGCACCATGGGAGGGAGGGTCCCCTTCAGGGGTACCACTGGTTTCCCGTGAATTAAACTGGCTTCAAGGGATCTCAACTGAACAGGCCTACATCACACTCACCGATATACTTTCTCTTCAGTCCTCCTCATCTAGGTATTTTTAATTGTTTCAGTGAGGTGTAGGCAAGCGGGAATTGGAGGGAGCGTCTCCTCAGCTCCCTCCCTCCGCTCGGAAATTGCTGGGCCACTCTTGAACACATTAGTACGGTAGTCACAGTCTGATCACCTGGCCCCTTGCCCTCTTTGGGCATTTTCCTTTCGGACAGTTCCTGAACACTCACAGTGTCGCTGCAGCGGGCCACCTAGATCTCCCTCTCTCTGCATGCTCCCGCCTGCTCTGGGCTCCACTCCCTTCTCCCAAGCACTTCTGTCCAGGGCTATTCCAGCAGTCCAAGCTCAAGGAAATCCTTTGCTAAACTGATTATAGAAAGGTTTCTATTTTAACATCTAGGCCTTCCATGTATTAATTCTCAGAATCAACTTAAGATGTTTAAAGGTGTGATTTAAGACATTTTAAAACCATTTGGAGGAGAGTACAGAAGTTGTGTCGGTTGCTGTCAGCCTCTTTGCACCATCTGCAGAGAAAATTACTAGAGTCCCACCTCGGACACATCCACAGGCAAGAGGTGCAAAGAAAGTGTCTCTGATGAGGCAAGGTCAAAACTTCTCCCCAGACAAAATCCAAAGAAAGCATTCCTACTATGCTATATCAGTTTGGAAAGAGAAACTTCTGCCAGGTGACTGCATTCTCACGGGTCACATTGTGTTCCTATGGACTCCTCAGCTCAACCAGTTTGGAGAAGTTATGGCGTGATTTCACTGTATGTGGTTAGAAGTTAGGTTTCCATTTGGCTGGCAATGAAGAAGAAATGGAGCAGGCCAGGCTGTGTAGTTTCTGCCATGTCCCCCCAGGAGTGAACAGCTCTGTTTCTAAGAAGCCATGGTACTCAGACCTGGCCTCACTGGTTGCCAGCCTCCAGATTGCAGAAGTGCCCTTTGGTTGGTGGTTGTGCTGTGTCATTTGGAAGTTCCACAGTCGTTGTGGGGCTCCAGAGATGAAAAGTGTAAGAGGAGAGTGGAAGGTGCTTATTGCCGCTCGGGCATCCCCACTGTGTGGGTGCTTTAGCCCAGCCCTCAAAACCCACGGGTCTGTACACTCAACCGCCATGAGAGGGAAGGTGAAGGATGAGGGAGGGGACAGCCAGTCATGGAAAGGTAGGAACTAAGCAGGCAGGGTGGCGAGTTTTCCGTAAGATAAAAATTGTCTGGATACTGCTGAGGTTCTGTTACAAAGACCACTTCCTCCCTGGGCCAGCAGTGTATCTGTGTGCCTGTCTGGGTTGTAAAAAGGGCCAAAGATCAATGCAGCAGGCAGCTACATGCTGGCAAAAGCCAGAGGCAGCTGGTCTGTTTGCCTGTGTCAGGAAACCACTGGGAATAGGGCTGTGTGTTATTCTAGGAGAAAGTCGTCCCAGGAGCAGCTTCTCCAGGGGCATCCAAGAACACTGAAAAGGGTTGCAAGATGACCCATGAGGCTGCAGGAAGAAATGAAGCTTTACTCATTTTTAACATATACACGGACAGTAGTATGTGTATACAGTTTATATGCAAATATACTTGTTATAAGGTTGCATGCTCAAAACTTTTGGTTGATGGGGTGTGAGATCATAAATGTTTAGTGACCATGGCTATCAAGGAAAAATAGCATGAAGGACAAATGATACTGGTGGATTAAAAAGACAGATGCATGTATTTTTAGCATAAAACACAACTGCTGACTGATAGAGATAGCTCAAGATTCTGGGGCAGCTGCTGAACAGATATCCCAGGCAGTGTGGCTCATCGGCTCAGACTTGGCCTTAATTAATGGGCTGTGCCTTCACCCATCTCCCACGAGGGCAGAGCTGAGTCAGGGTTTGAGAGCTAAAAGGAATTGGATCTGGACTCTGCTCATGTGTATATTTTAATTCTAATTAATTAATTTTTTTGAAAGACAGAATCACCCTCTGTTGCCCAGGCTGGAGTACAGTGGCACAATCTTGGCTCACTGCAACATCGACCTCCCATGTTCAAGTGATTCTCCTGCTTCAGCCTCCTGAGTAGCTGGGATTACAGGCACATGCCCCCATGCCCAGCTAATTTTTGTATTTTTAGTAGAGACAGGGTTTTGCCATGTTGTCTAGGCTTGTCTTGAACTCCTGACCTTGTGATCTGCCTGCCTTGGCCTCCCAAAGTGCTGGGATTATAAGGCATATTATTTTAAGTCACTCAGTTTGTGGCCACTTGTTACAGCAGCAACAGGAAACTCATAGAATCATCATGTGAACTTACAGGAATATGGTGAGTGAAAAAGAGAGGATGGGTGTAAAACATCCATGGTAGAGTGAGAACTCTCCAGGGAGTGAGGACTGTGTCCGGCACACAGTGATTGCCCTCTCAGTAAGCTAACTTTCTGAGCACCAGCTTTTTTGAATTGACCGTGGTATCTTTAACGCTTGAAGATCACCTTTCTTTGCTCAGCCTGACTTGCCGACCTGGGCTGATTTGTGGATCTGATAGAAAAGTTTCCTTAGTTGGGCTCTTCTCCCCCACCACCCCCACGCCAGTGTGGCCACATCCTCTGTCTGCATTGCTCACTCTTCAATTCCAAGAAGCACAGGTGCACTGCCAGGAACAGGAACCCTGCCAAAGGAATATATCAAGAAACCAAGTCTGCCTTATGCATCACCATAGGAACAGAGTTAATGGATTATGAACATGTGTTTGCTTTATACCATTGTTTGTTTCCCAGGTGGCAGCTGGTTGCCCCATCTTATTGGGTAGATGTAAGTGGAATTATGAATGGGATTTATGTTTCATACATTATGACGATTATTAATGTCAACTTTCAGGTAATTTTCAGACCATATTGCAGTAACTTGGTATCTGATTGTTTTTCTCCTTGTTTATTGATTCTGCAGCCAGAACTGTGTAGATGCGTACCCCACTTTCCTCGCTGTGCTCTGGTCTGCGGGGCTACTCTGCAGCCAAGGTAACTCAGACTTCCCTTTGTTCATTCTCCTTCTATAAAGTGCATCTCAAGGAGGTTCAAAGGGCAGGCTTTTTGTTGAAAGGACTTTGCCTGACCTCTGGCTCCCATCTGGGAAGCCCTGGAGAGGTGAGAGCCCTCGGGAGGCTGTGTTTCAGGCATGCTCTGCGCCCGTGCAGAGCGCGTGTGATAATGCATTGCTAATGCTTGCTCCCTGGTGGCTGGTTGAGAGCTGCTGTGCTGACAAGGGTGGTTTAAGGCTAAATGTGACTCAGAATCCTTAAGCAGTGTTAGTTCAGATACAAGGGCATTATAAATGAGAGTGCCTGAGGGATCTATTCTGGGGCGGCTGTAACTGGGCTCTTCTGCTGATAAGCTTCCAGTATGGTGGCCCTCCTTCAGGCATGTTTCCACTGAGCCACGGGCTGGATACCACATCCCTGGCCTTCCCAGGTGAGCAGCAGCCCACAGGCTTGACTTGAGCAAGGTGGAAATACAGATCAACTTCCAGAGTTGATTTAACATTGAGTGGGAATCAGTCATACTTTCGGTCCCCTTTCGGGGCCATGCCTGGCACTGTGCCTGGTGGCCGATCGGCATGAACTGGCCAGCTTCTGTGGCCCTGGAGGGCACAGGCAGAAAGGCCACACTGAGTCCCATGATGAACTATGTAAGACTTATTTTTGTCTCCCCGCTCTATAAAGTAGATAGAGTGGATCTTATCTCCCTTAGTACCTTTCAGGATACTTTGATTCAGAGATGAAGTAACTTGCTTACAGCTACTCAGCTGGTGAATAACACAGGCAGAATGAGTGCCTGGGTCTTTTGGCTTAAAATTCTGGATTTTCACGAAGATCTTCTTACTTTATTCATTTACATAATAAATATATATTGAAGAGCTACTCTGTGCCAAGCCCTGAGCCTAGATATACAGTGATAAATAAAAGAGATGGCGGTGAAGCACAGGCCAGCTGGCAAGATGGACCACAGAAGTCAGTGAATGAAGAAATGACAAGGGTGGGAAGCACCATGCGGGAAAAGAACTAAGTTCAGTGATAAAGAGCAGAGGTGAGGTGGCAGCAGAAACCACTTAAGGGACACCAAGTGGCACTCCTTCTGTGCTGAGACGGCTGTCAGTAAGCTCACCATTTATTTCCGATTTTCTATCCTGAGTTAAATAGGAAATATGTCTCGCATTACTCAAAAAATCAAGTCAAACTATGCTCTTACTAGGAGTTATGGTTCTTTTTATGTCTTAGATGAGGCTTGATCTAGATGAATGCGGACTTGCTGTAGCCAGATAAATACAATGGGAGTCTGAAGGTGTTTCGTAGCCCTGGAAATATGCATTTCCTGTCAAAACAAGCTTTGTCATTGCCAGCAGACAAAATCATCAGCAAACCTTGGTTGATAATCATGATTTCCTATGAATAAATAGATTGTAGAATTTTTTTGAGCAGAAAGGAAACTCAAAGATAATTCTAGTGCAAATCCCTCACTTCATAGAGCAGAAGCTCAAGTCCCAGAAGAACAAATGGCTTGCACGAACATCAGAATTTTAGAGCCTGGATTTATACCCTCCTGGTGCCCGCAGCCCACTTCCCTGCAGGAGGCACTCACCTTCCTTGCACAGGGGTTTGAGTACGGTCATTTTCCACCCATAATCTCTGATAGCTCATGTTCAATTGGGTTCCCATTGAAAGAAAAATGGACCAGTAAGTTAGAGCAGAATCATTCAGATGGTACAACATAGGAAAAACTTTGCCCAAGGCAAATCGTGATGGTGACAGTTTTGCGATTTTTAGAGAATAGCATGGGCCAGGCACAGTGGCTCACGCCTGTAATCCCAGCACTTTGGGAGGCCGAGGCAGGTGGGTCACTTGAGGTCGGGAATTCAAGACCAGCCTGCCCAACATGGTGAAACCCTGTCTCTACTAAAAATACAAAATTAGCTGGGCGTGGTGGTGCATGCCTGTAATCCCAGCTACTCGGGAGGCTGAGGCAGGAGAATCACTTAAACCTGGGAGGCGGAGGTTGTGGTGAGCCAAGATAGCACCATTGCACTTTAGCCTGGGCAACAAGAGTGAAACTCCGTCTCTAAATAAATAAATAAGAATGAAAGCCGAAACTCACAGTTTCTCTTTTGCTTTGATTTTTTTTTATCTACCAGATAACAGTAGTATTTTGGAAGGCAGGAGGAATTGTGGAAAGAAATGGGTTTTGGGGAGTGGCTGATTGGAGGCAAATCCCAGGACTCTCATTGCTGGTGTGTGACTCCAGGCTGTTACTCAGCTTTTCCAAGCCTCAGTTTCCTTATTGTAAAACAGGCCCATGGTCTAGCTAGTAGCATGCCTATGGTGAGTGAAATAATATGTATAAAACTCCTGACACAGTGCTTGGCATATACCAGATTGAGCCGTGTAAAACCGCCAATATCTGACTATTTATGACCTACAAAAACAGCATTTCATATGATTCCGCCTAACAACTGAAGCGCGATAAATGTTGTTATTGATAATGCGGGTGGTGGTGATAAAGTTTTGTAATCAGAAAGACCTGGTTTCGAATGCCACCCCTTCACTGGCCTGACTTATTTTCATTCATTGGACAAATATTATTTTGAAAACCCCTACGTGCCAGGCACTATGCCAGGCTCACAGATGGTCTAGAAAAAAGACAAATGTCCTCATGGCTCTTGTGGCCTGAGCCTAAATTTCCTCATCTGTCAGACGGTGACAGTAACACACTCCTTACCAGCGAGCTGGGAGGATTGGAGACTCAAGTTCCTCAAACGCCAGGAGCACTGCGGCAGGTGAAAAGGATTCCCTCAATGGCAGCAGTTTGTAAACGGCTTTTATATCTGTGGCTCCAGATAACATGAGTTCCAGCTGAGTTAACTCCCAGCGCTAAGCCTTCAGGACTTCACAGAGTTATTGGGGTGCTGCTCCAGGCAGTTTCCCCAAAGGCTAGAATGCAAAGGGAATCTCCTTCCCTAGAGATCTTTTCTAAACGGTAACTGTTGGTTCAGGAAAGATTAAAACATTGTGCTGCTGGGAGGCTCAGGGGTGAAGGGTGTACTTTTAAGAGAACCAGTTTCAGAGCTGGGTTCAGGGTTTAAGCCCTACCCTCTGCCCCCTTTTACCAGCTGACAGCCTTATGCAAGCCTGGTGGACCACCTGAACCCACGTTTCCGCATCTGGAAATAGAAATGTGGGTACTAGTTATGTTGAAAGGACTCACGTTAGATGATGGCTATGCAAATACCTTGTAAAGCAGGGGTGTCCAATCTTTTGGGCTCTCTGAGCCACACTGGAAGAAGAGTTGTCTTGGGCCACACATAAAATACACTAACCCTATTGGTAGCTGATGGCTAAAAGAAAAAAAAACCCCAAAAAAAAAAAAAAAAAAATCTCATGTTTCTAAGGAAGTTTATGAATTTGTGTTGGGCTGTATTCAAAGCCATCCTGGACCATGTGTGACCCACAGGCTGCGGGTTGGACAAGTTTGTTGTAAACAATGCCATGGTGCCAGCATAAGGTCATTATTATCAGTATTAGGAAGGTTCTCGGGTTTCCTCTAGCCCTTGGGCTTTTTTTCTGAAGTGCGCATGTCCTCTGCTAGATTTTGTGACCAATGTTGATTGCCTAATGACTATGCTAAAATTGGGCTAACGGCATGTTTTTGGTGGCTACGAAACTGACACAGGTGTTTTCATTTCTCCACTTAGTTCCTGCTGCCTTTGCTGGACTGATGTACTTGTTGGTGAGGCAAAAGTACTTCGTCGGTTACCTAGGAGAGAGAACGCAGAGGTAGGTAACAGGGACTACTAAAGAACTGTGGAGTGATTCCTGATTTTCGAGCAGGAAGAGTGATAATTCAAAACAATATTTTACTAGATTCATGGCTTTGTAGCATCCCCTTGGGTGGGAGGGGGAGGGCTGACTAGGACCTCTGATCCTTCTCTCCCTGAGCTTCGAAGACTGAAAATACAGCTGAGGGGACTTACCCAGTTTTCTCATTAAGCAATTCCTCTGTATGGTGTTGACTTTCAAAGGGTGCTTCAGTGCTGTTTGCTGCACGTGCCTCGCAGTCCCACACCGTGCACTCCCGCCTTGCAGAGTCTGGCGCTGGAATGACTTTTTATGTCTGGGTTCCCAGGTCTCTTGGGAGTGAAACATTTGACTGTTTGTCTAGAGAAATGAGAACGAACGCTTGCACCTTGTGATAAGTTGTCCTGAGGAACAGATCTTCCAGGGGCCAGCAGAAAGAACGTTGGGAAAATAAGAGGCAGACATGACGGCCAGGTGCGGCGGCTCACACCTATAATCCCAGCACTTTGGGAGGCTGAGGTGGATGGATCACCTGAGGTCGTGAGTTCGAGACCAGCCTGGTCAACATGGTGAAACCCCCGTCTCTACTAACAAATATACAAAAAATTAGCCAGGCATAGTGGTGGGCGCCTGTAATCCCAGCTACTCGGTAGGCTGAGGCAGGAGAATCACTTGAACCCAGGAGGTAGAGGTTGCAGTGAGCCAAGATTGCACCACTGCACTCCAGCCTGAGCAACAAAAGCAAAACCCCATCAAAAAAAAAAAAAAAAAAAAAAAAAAGATGCAGACATGAGACTGTGAAACTGACTAGCATCACCATTGCATTGTTTATAGATGTTGCCAGACAGAAACCCCAAAGCAGCACAGTACCTTCCTGACACCTGGATTAGGAAATCTAGATTTTAGTAAAATAAATGCTGATACTTACAGAAGAAATTTTGGAGTTAGAGTATGCCATCAGTTCCTTAGAGACTGCAATTCCTAATGCACTAGTAGGGGTCCAGGTGCCAGGAACGCGTTCTGCGAGGCTGCTGCCCCAGGTGCCGACCCCAGCCTTCCACACCATTTTCCTTCCTTTTCTATGTTCACAGCCACTCTGTCTTTTACAATAGCACCCCTTTCTAGTGGCTAATGGGCTCTATGATTAGATAGCATCCTTCAGTAGTGATAAAGGCAGTGACAGCCTGGGGAGGTCAGCAGGTGAAAGCGCTATATCTGGAAAACCTGAGAGCCTGTGAAGCTCAAGGACTTGACAGGGTTAGACCACGAGCCGGGCTGCAGCTGGAAAAAGAATGACTGTTCTTTCGGCAGATCCTTCCCTGTGCCATCTCTTTCTTCATTCCTTTCTAGTAGCATTCTTATTTATCCTCTAAAACCACAATTCCATTATCTCTCCTATTCTTATCAACACTGCCCTAAATGATATTCTTTATTCCCTTTTGCCCTGGAAAACCTCTATCATGCCTTTTCCCATGTGATTACGTTGTTAAGAGTGGGGGTGGAATGTCTAGCAATGAAATAAGAGGGTGTTCTCTTTTGCCTGGCTCCCTAGGCAGCCCTATCTTACCCCTCGCAGAGTCCCAGGGATGTGGCTCAGTCACTGCTCCTCTCTTCATCTGTCACCACTTGCTTAAGATCCTACAGCTGCTTTAATTCCGAGACAATCTGCAGAGCATGACAAAATTTGTCCACCTACCCACATGTCCTTTTAACTTTAAAGGTTTTACTAACTGATTCCTATTAGGGAACGAACAGAGGTGGCAAAAATAAACAATAGAAGATTGGTTTACAAGAAATCTTTAAAATAGTAGATTTCTTCATACCTCATTGAAATATGAACGGCCTGACTTCTTATGTCCCTCCCTGGTCTCCCGCTTTAGATGATAAGAAGATCCCGCCAGCCCCGTAACCCACTGTGTGCATGGGTTCAAGATTCCCTTCTCCTCCCCTGTGGGTGTGGTAGACTTTACTGATGAATCATGGTGCTCTTTCTTGCAGAGACCAAAACTGGCCTCAGAGTCCTTCTTAACACAGATACTGCTTAACACAACCACTCTGAGTAGTTGTCATCAGTAGAAGTAATAGATACTAGAAGAAATGTCTAAGCCTAATCTAGACCAAAATACGGCCTGATATAGATGCAAGCCAGAGGGGCTTTATGGTTAAATGCAAGGAGATTTTCAATCCTGCCTTCTAGAAGCTACTTGTTGAGAGCTTCTTCAGTTAGGCCCACCTCCTCCCCAGGTCCCACTTCTGTTCCTGGGCTATGTCACACTTGGAATCTGCAGACACCTAATGCCCTTGGGACCTGCTTTAGTTCTTGACCTCACCAACCGAGGAGGAATTGCTTGATGAGATTCTTCCCCTGGAATTTCTCTCTTGGACCCCAGATGGTCCTTTGCCCCTTTCCAGAAGTTGCTTCAGCCCTGTTCACTTCGGAAGTTCAGTGTCATCCTTGGTCCAGTGGGCAGGGAAGACATTGCATAATGTATGCACCAGTCTGAGCTTCTTCCTTCAGGCTTCAGGCTGCCCTGCGAGGATTTTGTAGTTCCCTTTTTAATGCCCTCAAGAAGTGTCTGGCTCCTATTTTCAGCCCTTCCTCTTACTCTCTGACCCCTTCCTCTATCCTGTTTAGTTCACCTGTAGCAGTTACTACCCAGCAGTTAACTTAATCCAGTTCGTTTCGTTTCTTTTCTTTGTTTTCTTTTTTCTCTTCTCTTTTCCCCTTCCCTTCCCTCCCTTCCCTCTCTTTTCACTTCACCTCACCCTTCACTCCCTTCACTTCCCTCCCCTCCCTCCCTCTCCCTTCACTTCACCTCACCTCACCTCATCTCACCTCACCTCATCTCACCTCACCTCCTCCCACCTCACCCCACCCCACCCCACCTCCCACCTCCGGCATCTCCTCACCCCCTCCCACCTCACCTCACCTCATCTCCTCCACCTCATCTCCACACCTCACCTCATCTCACCTCACCCCACCTCTGGCTCTCCCACCTCACCTTCTCACCTCACCTCACCTCATCTCACCTCACCTTACACAGAGTCTTGCTCTGTTGCCCAAACTGGATTACAGTGGCCTGATCTTGGCTCACTGCAACCTCCACCTCTTCCCAGGTTCAAGTGATTCTTGTACCTCAACCTCTTGAGTAGCTGAGACTACAGGTGTGCACCACCACATCCAGCTAATTTTTTGTATTTTCAGTAGAGATAGGGTTTGGCCATGTTGGCCAGGCTGGTCTTGAACTGCTGAACTCAAGCAATCTGCCAGCCTCGGCCTCCCAAAGTGCTGGGATTATAGGCATGAGCCACCCATGATGCCCAGCCTGAATCTTGGTTTTTTCTTCATTCATTTAAGCTATCACCTGGGCCCAAACTCAATGGCACCTGGCACCAACTGGCAACTGACTCTTGGCCTTTTATCACCTGCCTTCCCCAGCGGACACTAGGTTGCTCCCTCTTCCTATCCCTCAGAGTCCTGTCCTCAGTCGGGGCTCCCACTGATCCTCTTGGCAATTTGAAGTTCTCAGCTCAATGGTGGGTGGGCAATGACTGCCAACTCTTGAGGCGAGTGAACTCAGGTTACCCTACTCCTCCTTTTCCTTAGTTGCTCACTCACTCCTCATTCACTCAACATTCATTCAGTAGATATTTGCTCCCTGCTTTGTGCCAGGTACCAGGTCAGTTGCTGAAGGAATAACAGTGGACATAACAGAGCCTTTGTCCCCAAGGAGACCCAAGGTGTCTCCTAGAGCCAGGGGCACATTGCAAGACCAAAAATACTCAATTCACCAAAATAATCATAGACCTAGTTCTCAAAACGCAGGAAGACTGATTCCTCGCTGTCATTTCTCCTCCTCAGCATCAATGTTCTAGAGTCTGTGGGCCTCCAAATGTGGAGTACGGTGATACTTCACCAGAGTTTGAGGGGAAACATTCTTCTTTTGGAAGGCCAGGGAGCATAGATGGATAGCAAGGCTGCTGTTTCTAAAAGCGAAACCCGCCAAACAACAGTATTAGAATCATCTGTGGTGCTTATGAAAGATACAGATTCCTGGGCCCCATCCCAGACTTATGAATCAGAGTCTCTGCCAGAGGAAGCCTGAACATTCGCATTCTCAGATGATTCTGCATTCTCAGAGAATACATTCTTTAGGTGATTCTTAGACACACTGGAGTTTGGGAATCGCTGAAGGCTGTTCTCTTTTCTGAGAAATGATTCATTCACTTCAGAAATATTTGTGGAGGTCCTGATTTATTGGATATTTGTGGGTGGGCAGAGGAGAAATATCTTGTCCTCACAGAGCTTACAATTTTTATTTTCTTTAGAGGTCACCAGGCTTAAAGTGAGACTTCCCTAAGTTCTGAAAAGAACAGAATTGTAAAACAAGAAGGGACTGTCGTGTTTTCTGTTCCTACCTCGTATTTTGTACACATTGAGAACCTGGGGTGGGAAGTGGGAGAGGGGTGGTGACTGGTGGGGGGCCACAGAGAGCTGAGGTGGGGTGGTCTCGAACTCCTGAACTCAAGCAATCTGCCAGCCTTGGCCTCCCAAAGTGCTGGGATTATAGGCATGAGCCACCCATGACGCCTGGGTGGAACTTAGGGCTCTGGCTGCATGGGTGCCCTCATCTCCCACACTACGGCACCTCATCCTAGGAGTGGTTAGCACCTTTGAGATGGGAATTGTTTAGCAGGATGCTTTTGTGTTTTCATGTAGGTTTAGGCTGCCTGTGGAGGGCACAGCTGTTTCAAAACTAATAGCCAAATCCTAGTCTCCAAAGTCTGAAGGCATCCTTAGGAAGTCACTGCAGTGCAAAGCACTGGACTCTGGCCTCACACAGGCAGGTCTGAACACCTACGTTGCCTCTTGCTGGCTGTGGGACCTGAGGCGAATCGTGCAAGCTCTCTGCTCTGTTTGCCTAGATGGAAAATAGGTTCACAATACGCCCCCATAGGATGGCTGTGAGAATTGAAGGAAGTCCCAACAGATGCTTAATAATTTAATTCTGACCTTCCTCACTCATTTAGAATTATGTACCAACTTTTAGAAACAATGAAAGATTAGTGAGTCTTCTGTGGTTGGTATAAAAAAAAAAAAAAGAAACATGAAAGAGATATCTTGCTTGTTCAAGGGCTAATGACCCTGGTGTGCCCTGTCTGGGCCCCCAAGCTCTTCCTTCCCTGCTCACAGCATTTCAGATTCTCCGCAGCTTGGCCTGAGCCTGGGGCAGGTTCAGCATCTGCCCCCATGCTCACTTGCCACAGCTGTGGCCCCATCTCCAAACCTGAGATACTTAAAGGTACAGCTAATGACGGGCCCGACCTGGGGTCACATTCCCTGAGCCCTGCGGACGAGGGAGCAGGAAGCTGAGCTTTTATCTTCCACACCCCGTGCATGGCCTGGGAAGAGTTAAAGCACCCTAGTCCTAATGCTGCGGGAACCACATGCCCTGAGACCTTGGAAAAATCCTACCTGAATTGAAGAACACCACTATTTCATCAGGAGGCGCGGCCATGTCATTTTTCACTTCGGTTTTATCTTGAGCGTAAAACAGCTTCGCAAATCACTTTTTCTTGTTTCTGTAATGAGCATATGGTGGCCTCATTCGTGTGATAAATCTGAGCCACCATGATATTTGACTTTTCACAATTTAATTTATCTGAACCTTCTATTCTCTGGCTAAAAAATATCCCTTACTTGGACTTCTTTATTTTATTTTCACTTCCCTTACCAGTACTAGCAGGGGGCTTGTACTATCTGCTGGGGCTGCCATAACAAAGTACTGCAGCCCGGGGGGCTCAAGCCACGGAATTTATTCTCTCACAGTCCTAGAGGTTAGAAGTCCAAGATCAAAGTGTGGGCAGGAGGCGTTTCTCCTGCGGCCTCTCTTCTTGGCTTGAACAGGGCCAACTTCTCCCTGTGTCTTCACGTTGTCTTCCCACTGAGCATGTCTGTGGCCAAATCTCCTCTTTTAAGACCCCAGTCATACTGGAGGAGGGTCCCCCCATATGAGTTCATTTTACCTTAATTATCTCTAACACCCTGTCTCCAAATACAGTCCCATTCTGAGGAACTGAGGGTAAGGATTCAACATATGAATTTTGGAAGGGACCTAATTCAGCCCACAACACCCTCTTTTGGGATGTTTATTTTCCCCCGTAAGGAGCTAGTAAAGATGTCTTATCTCACGAACATAACTGAACAGGAAAACAGGGAGAGAATGAAGCTGGCCAAGGAACAGGGCTGGTGTCAGCTAGCAGTGCTTTTCCCATGTGAGTGGGTCCCACAGGGAGCTTGTTAAAATGCAGATGCTGATTCATTAGCATCTGAGATTTCCCATTTCTGACAAGCTTCTAGTGGGGGCTGATGCTGCTGGTCCATGGACCATACTTTAAGTAGCAAGTAGCTTGATACGTAATGGCTGAGTGAATTTCAGACTCCTGCTGTAGAAAAATTATGAGTTGGCTGGGCATAGTGCCTCATGCCTGTAATCCCAGCACTTTGGAAGGCCGAGGTAGGCAGATCACCTGAGGTCAGGAGTTCAAGATCAGCCTGTCCAACATGGTAAAACCCCGTTTCTACCAAAAATACAAAAATTAGCTGGGCATGGTGGCAGGCGCCTGTAATCCCAGCTACTCAGGAGGCTGAGGCAGGAGAATCGCTTGAACCCAGAAGGCAGAGGTTGCAGTGAGCTGAGATCGTACCACTGCACTCCAGCCTGGGCAATAGAGCTTGACCCAGTCTCAAAAAAAAAAAAAAAAAGATAAATGATAAATTATGAGTTATATTATGAGCATATGGGGTGCCTTTCAAATTGATAAGATTTCTAATATTAAACCTGTGGATATCAAATGCTGCTCTCTCTGATTATGGCAGGAAACGGCACTTGGCAGCATGAAGTTAGCTGCTGGGCTGAGCTGGCTCATCTCGTTGTGCGGTCCTGACTGTCTAAGGGCGCCTTCCCGGGATCTTTACTAACAACCTCCTGAGTCATTTGGACTTTCCCAACCTGTTAGCACCACTCAATGGGCCAGACATGGCGGCAGTCAGAGGAGGGCTCTGCAGAGGGAGGGCAGACGCAGGGTGGCCTCTGCGTGCCATTAGGAGGTCACATCTCACTGGTGGATGCAGTTTAGGATTTAGTGCCTTGGAGAGAAGGATAGAGTGTATTAAAACATGTCTCCGCTGGGCATGGTGGCTTACGCCTATAATCCCAGCACTTTGGGAGGTGGGTGGATTGCTTGAGCTCAGAAGTTCAAGACCAGCCTGGCCAACATGACGAAACTCCATCTCTACTAAAATACAAAAAGTTAGCTGGGCGTGGTGGCACGTGCCAGTAGTTACAGCTACTTGGGAGGCTGAGGCATGAGAATCACTTAAGCCTAGAAGGCGGAGCTTGCGGTGAACCGAGATTGCACCACTGCACTCCAGCTTGGGCTACAGAGTGAGACTCTATCTCAAAAACAAACAACAGCAATAACAACAAAAACCAAGTCTCTCTCTCCACTCAAAAATGCAAGGGCCTGTCTCCCATTGCTGGGTGCCCAGCTCTCATGAATGTAAACATGAATTACTCCAGGCAGCCTCAGGAGAATAAAATGAGCCCTCAGATGCCGAAGCACCTTTCAGATTCCACCGGTTTTATCAGCTCATTTAAACTTCACTTCTAACACAGTCCTGCATTACACACGTGTCTGTCCTTAGGGGCAGCTGCAGAGAGGCTCTTAATGGTCCTAATGCTCAGTGAGGATGCCCAGTGATCAACAGAACCTGCCACCTTCACGCCATCAAGGAGCTCTGGAGTTAAGGAAATCATGAGAGCACAGAGAGGCGGGTACAGTAGAGCCCTCGCAGTAATGGGTTTTGAGGTCTAGGCTCTCTTCGCTTGGGTTTGAAATAAGTTCAATGGCTAGTAATAGCTGAGACACTTCCATCCTTCGTATGAAGTAAATGGGAAAATGGAACATTGTTGAGTCCAGGGAGCTATAATTTAAACCCCATGTATCTAAAAGGGGTAACATTTTTGTGTGTGTGAAATTGGTGTCATTTGCACTGCATCTACAGTTTTCTTTTTCCTTCTCTTCCAGCACCCCTGGCTACATATTTGGGAAACGCATCATACTCTTCCTGTTCCTCATGTCCGTCGCTGGCATATTCAACTATTACCTCATCTTCTTTTTCGGAAGTGACTTCGAAAACTACATAAAGACGGTCACCACTACCATTTCCCCTCTACTTCTCATTCCCTAACTCTCTGCTGAATACGGGGTTGGTGTTCTCATGTAATCAATACCTACAAGTCATCATAATTCAACTCTTGAAAGGATTCTGCTCCTCTTTAGATGGCTGTAAATCTATTGGCCATCTGGGCTTCACAGCTTGAGTTAACCTTGCTTTTCCGGGAACAAAATGATTTCATGTCAGCTCCGCCCCTTGAACATGACCGTGGCCCCAAATTTGCTACTCCCATGCATTTTGTTTGTTTCCTCACTTATCCTATTCTCTGAAGATGTTTTGTGACCAGGTTTATGTTTTCTTAAAATAAAATGCAGAGACGTGTTTTAAGCTAATAGTTGAGGGGTTTTGTTAATGGCTTTCGGGGGATGTATATCTATACCAACAAACGACTAGTTTGTTTTCCTCAAATGATAATATTAAATGATATTTTAAATGATAATATTAAAAATAAAAATAAAAATTTTTCCTTTAAATGATAATATTAAAAATACACATCCTGGCCGGGCGCGGTGGCTCACACCTGTAATCCCAGCACTTTGGGAGGCCGAGGCGGGCAGATCATGAGGTCAGGAGATCGAGACCATCCTGGCGAACATGGTGAAACCCTGTCTCTACTAAAAAAACAAAAAAATTATCCAGGCTTGGTGGCGGGCGCCTGTAGTCCCAGCTTCTAGGGAGGCTGAGGCAGGAGAATGGTGTTAACCCGGGAGGCGGTGGAACTTGCAGTGAGCGGAGATTGCGCCATTGCACTCCAGCCTGGGTGACAGAGCGAGACTCCGTCTCAAAAAAAAACAAACAAACAAAAAAAACACATTCTGGCGAGGTGTGCGGTGGCTCACACCTGTAATCCCAGCACTTCGGGAGGCCGAGGTGGGTGAATCACTTGAGGTCAGGAATTCAAGACCAGCCTGGCCAATATGGTGAAACCCTGTCTGTATTAAAAATACAAAAATTAGCCAGGTATGGTGGCAGGTGCCTGTAATCCCAGTTACTTGGGAGGCTGAGGCAGGAGAATTGCTTGAACCTGGGAGGTAGAGGTTGCAGTGAGCCAAGATCACGCCACTGCACTCCAGCTTGGGCAACAGAGTGAGACTCCATCTCAAATTAAAAAAAAATACACATCTGACTTCTGGAAAAATTCCTTGAAGATCTTTTATGACATCCATCCCTCTTCACACAGCCATGTGAATTAGGTTGGTATCTTCATATGCTAGCATCGTGCCCAGCACTTCCATGTTATACAGTTTAAAATGTTCTGTAATTCCCTGTGGGAACCTAAGATAGTGCCAGGCCCATCATAAGTGCCCCCAAATATTGGCAAGCCAATGAAGAAATGAATGAATGAGTTTATGAATCGCTGGCTGACTGTATTTAATGAAGTGTGTGTGTTGAGCCATCTCCCACAGTGTGGACAGATTTGTCTCACAACATGGGCCTCTTCCCAAAGGCCCTACCACCTAATGCCATCACACTGGGGATTCGATTTCAACATGTGAATTTTGGGAGAGTGCAAACACTCAGACCATAGCACCACCTCAGTAAATGTCCCACTGGTCACTCAATTCAGTGACAGTGATCCAGCCGCTGTCATGCCAGGTGCCACTTGGCAGAAACAGCACAACTTGGAAGATGGCAGGGTGTAGTCAAGATTCCAGGACCCCCAACAGAGAAGCCAGCTCTTACAGGGAAGCCATTCATCAGGACTGAACTCTCAATTGAGGTGGACAGTAATAGGTGGGTCTCCGTTATTCCCCAGGTGAGTATCACGATGGTCACAGTCCTGGGAAGGATGTGAAGCCTCCCTCAGCTCTCCCCAAGTTGCCTGCTTGGGCAGCAGAGATGATGGAACATGGAGTCTGGCATGGTCTGAGGCCTGAATCCATGTGCCTCATGTGTGATGCTCAGGCAAGAGGATCTCCCAATTCAAGGGGGAGGGCTGAATGAGCCTTGCTTTCCAGGCCTGTCTGATGGTCCAGGCTGAAGCCCCTCCTGGCTTGCACTGCCAAACCTCGTCCAGCAGGAGCTCCTTGGCACTGACTGCTTCAGGAGAGTTGCTTCTTCTCTGAGCTCTCTCTAGAGAGCAGTGCTCCACCATCCAAGCTGGGCTTTTCTTTTCTTCTCGGTGATAGGGAAGGCACGGCACGTTGCGGGATGGAAGTGGCCCCCAGGCCTCCTCATGCCTGGGCTTGCTTTGGAGGGTGGTCAAGTGATCAATAATCCCCATCTGCCTGACATTGAGGAGTTTCCTGGGATGTGGGCCTTTCGGTTTTTTAAAAATTATTTTTATTGATACACATATTTGTAGGTATTTGTGAGGTGCATGTGATATTTTGTTACATGTGTGGATTGTGTAGTGATGAAGTCAGAGTGTTTAGGGTTTTCATCACCTTGATTATCATTTCTATGTGTCGGAAACATTTCAAGTTCTCAGTTCCAGCTAGTTTGAAATAGACAGTCCATTGTTGTTAGCTACAGTCACCCGACCCTGCTGTCAGATATTGGAACTTACTCCTATCGAACTATGTATTTGTACCCATTCACCGCACTCTCTTTGGGCTTTCGGTTTTACAACTGGGATGATCCCGGGAAAACTAAGGTAAATCAGTCGCCCCACGTGTGAGCTAGCTTATAATAGGCCCAGTGGATCCTGGGGACATCTTAGCTTTCCGAGGTCATGCTGTCCAAGCTGACTGTGGGGCTTCCAGAGGGTGGGGAGAGGAAATGATGCAATGGCCCATCAGAGGCACTACTTGGTGGGGCCTGGGGCCAGAGTGCATGTTTAAGGGATTAAGGGGAGGGGAGAGCAGCCTTCATAATTATGAAGAGGAGTCTCAGGTGCACAGCTTCTGATGCGGGACCCCTCCTCTAATTGAAGGCAGCGTTGTGTAATGCTCAAATTCCTTGTCTTCAGAGTCCCTGCTGTATCCCACCCTCAGTTCTGTGACTTCTCCCTAAGCCTCAATTTTGCATGTGTCACATTGGGATAATAATAGTGCCAAACTCAAGGGGTTGTTGTGAGGAATAATGAGGTAAAGCAATTGAAAATATTTAGCACAATATAAGTGCTCAGTAAAAGCCATTATTATTTTATCATACTCGTTTTCAATTCCTGCATAGCACATTCTTGCAAATGTAGGGACTGAAAACAATATAAATTTATTATCTGACAGTTTTTCTGGGTCAGAGGTCTCACCAGGCTGTAATCAGAGGGCAACCAAAGCTGTGGTCTCAGCTGAAGCTCAGGATTCTCTTCCAAGCTCACTGGTTGTTGGCAGAATTCAACTCTTTGCAGTTGGAGGACTAAAGCCTACAGTCTGCAGTTTCTAGAAGCCTTTTCTCTGGCACAGGTTTCTCTACAATGGCCATTGACGTCTTTAAGGCCAACAGGAGAGCATGATTAGCATGTTTTTTTAAGTGACCTTTAGACCCTTTTGTAAAGGCTTATCTGATTAGGCCAGGCCCAAGTGAGCTTGAAGTCAACTGATTAGAGACCTTAATTACATCTGCAAAGTCCCTTCAGGTTTACCGTATAACATAATTTAGTGAAAGGAGTGAAATTGCAACCAGGTTCTGCCTGCACTCCAGGGGAGGGGATTCTGCAGGAGTGTGCGTCACGGGGGGTTTATTTTGGGATTCTGCCTACCTCACTGAGTCAAAAGGAGTCAAAAGGAGCTGAATGGATGTGATGCTGAGGTTCTCAGGCAGCAGCAGTGTGTGTATGTGAATGAATTCATCCTTGTGACCACCTGGAAAGAAAGGAGGCTGTGGTTTCCTCCACCTCCTCCCGACAGGCAGAGAAATTTCTCATTTTTTTTTTTTTTGAGACAGGGTCTGGCTCTGTCACCCAGGCTGGAGTGCAGTGGCTTGATCTCCACTCACTGGCTCACTGCAGCCTCCGCCTCCCAGGTTCAAGCAATTCTTGTGCCTCAACCCCAGGCAGCTGGGATTACAGACACACACTGCCATGCCCGGCTAACTTTTGTATTTTTAGTAGAGACGAGGTTTCACCCTATTGGCCAGGCTGGTCTTGAACTCCTGACTGCAAGTGATCTGCCCACCTCAGCCTCCCAAAGTGCTGGGATTACAGATGTGAGCCACCGTTAACCATTTTTCTATCTCCTGTGGGAAAGAGCACAGTGAAAGAACAGATGAAGCTGAGACATGTAAGTGAACTCCTCCCTCCTCTCCATTTAGAGTAAAATAGGATTATTCATACTGAGACTCTCTCTGGTTGCAAAGAGATAATCTGTGCAACTGGGTTTTCACAATTATCCCCTACCCTGTGCTTTCCTCATCTGTCTTCCTCATAGTCAGCTGAAGCTGCTATAACAACACACCATAACTGGGTGGCTTTTGAACAAGAAAAGTTTTCTTCTCACAGTTCTAGAGGCTGGAAATCCAAGATCAAGTTTCTGGCAGATTCAGTGTCTGATGAGGGCCTGCTTTCCAGTTTATAGACAGTGCCTTGTTGCTGCCAACTTACATGGTGAAAGGAGAGGACGAGGAGCTCCCTGGGCTTTTTTAAAAAAATGTATTTATTTTATATAAGAGCACTATCTTAGTCCATTTTGTGTTGCTAAAAGGAACATCTGAGGTTGAGTACTTTATTTTATTTTAAAAACTGGCCAGGCATGAGGCTTATCCTGTAACCCTAATCCTGTAGGAGGCCGAAAGAGCAGGATTGCTTGAGGCCAGGAGTTCAAGACCAGCCTAGGCAAGATAGTAAGACCCCATCTCTACTAAAATTTAAAAAAATTAGCTGTGTGTTGTGAAATGTGCTTGTAGTCCCATCCACTTGGGAGGCTGAGGTGGGAGGAGTTCAAGGCTGCAGTGAGTTATGACTGAGCCACTGCACTCTAACCTGGGTAATAGGGCAAGACCTTGTCTCTATTAAGAAAAAAAAAATCTTTGGCTCACTATTCTGGGTGGCTGCAAAGTTCAAGACTGGGCATCTGCATCTGGTGACAGCCTCATGTCACTTCCACTCATGGGGGAAGATGAAGGGGAGCTGGTGAAAGCAGAGAGCAGGTGGTGAGGGCAGAAGCGAGAGAGAGAGAGAGGAGAGGTGCCAGGCTCTTTTTAACAACCAGCACTGGGGAAACTAACAGACTGAGAACTCACTCACTCCTGAGGGAGGACATTAATCTATTGATGAGCGACCTGCCTCCATGACCCAAACACCTCCAATGAGACCCCACCTCCAACACTGCCACACTTGGGATTAACTTTCAACTTGAGATTTAGAGGGGGCAAACTTACAAACGATCGCAGGCACTAATACCACTCATGAGGGCTCCACCTTCATGATCTAATTACTTCCTAACGGCCTTAC